AAGATGAAAGCCAGGAGACCATACATTCATTACCCATTTTTTCTACTTAACCTCTTTTAGGACTTGGCTGACCAATACCAGCATCATAAAGAATCTCCCTTGGTTTTTAAACTGTGCTTTAATTTTCATTACTCATTATTAAATTACTAGGATCTTTGAGACCCTCAATAATCTAATTCTCCTGGTACCCTGACCCAGTGCTTTATGCGAAGTCCTAGACTTGTCACTAGACTAATAATCCAACTTTCCTCCTCTTTCAGTATATGCAATGATCTGCAGAGTAAGATAAATTAAAAAATCAACAGGAAATCAAATAAGGTGTCATATCTTACTCTAGAACACCATCCAGCAACATTCTCCTAGTAGGCAAATAACACAAAGAAGAAGTTATGCAAACCCGCATTTGGCAGGACTGAGAATGAAGCCCACATCTCCACTGCAACAGTCATCCACACAGTAGCCCTAGTGCTCAAAATAACAAAATCGGATACATACACTTAGCCCTCCTATTTGTACCTAGCACTTGGGTGCTACTGGATCATACCCCTTGTCAGTCCCAGGAACAAAACTTGGGATTTATGGGTAACACTTCACTGCTATCTAATACAGGCGGGGGATAGGGAGGGCAGACAAGATTGTTTGGTTGTATGGTTTTGTTTTGTTTTCTCTTCTTCCCAAAATAGTCGCACAGGTGAGTTTTTATTTTATTTTTGGTTACTTACTATGGAAAAGAGCCACTAAATTAAGAGCTGTGCTGGATGGCCAATAGTCCAGAATAGAAATCATACAGATAACCCTGATTGCTACAGACCTCAGTACAGTATGTGGAATTTCATTTTCCCATCTTACATTTTATGATGGAAAAACCCCCACCAACTCACACATAAAGCAGCTTTAAAATATCTTTCACAGTTTATATCTATTTCATCTCACAAAGCACGGTGAGCAGTAAGATACAAGTTTTTCAAGTGTAAGTCACTTATCACATAGGTCAATATCACTATTTTAAATAGGAGCACTTCAGAACATCGGGAGAGATCTGTGTGATTTTGGGATTCCTCCAAAAAGAGTACTTGTTTGGCTTTAGTGTGAGAAGAGCAAGGGGCACAGTAACACTAGTTCCAGGGAGGATCAGATGTTTATCCCCTCCGCTAAGATCAAGTACAATCGGGTTATAAAAACTGCATATTGGGTTACCTGAAGTATCACTTTTCATGGCAAGAAATATTATCCTAATAGGTCTCAGAGGAGCAAAAATTGTTCTGATTTTGAACAACCATTTCAATAGTCAGATCTGCAACCTTTAAATTATTTTTGACATTCCCTCCACAGAACGGTATTCTTAACAAATAGCTGAGATGAAATATTACATTTTCATGATCTTTTTAACTGAACATACGTCATAGAAGTTTTGGTTACAAACAGAAATGGCAGAGTTTGCAAGAGTAATAGGCCTCCAAACCTTAAAAATCAAACAAACAAATTCTGATTTGTAAAAGGCAATGCTGAAATCATTTAGTAACTAAAACTAACTGCTGAAAAGTACATAAAATTCAAATCAACCAGACCAATCTAATCAGCAAGAGCAGGAAATGTTGAGAATCCCCACTAACTAATAAAGCAGTATTAAATGTGTCAGTTATCAAGCAAGATTTTCCTTACTGCCGAGTCTCAAAAGTTCAGGATGGTACCAATAATTTTTTTAACATATATATACATATACACACACAGAGAGCATAACAAGAGCCATTCATATAACAGAAACTGTATCAGGCTTGACATATGTGATGTATGTGGTTTATGCCTGCTTCATGAAACAAGCAGCTACAGTTTCTCCGGCTTTCTTGGGGAAGGTGAGGGAGAAGTAATCCCTTCCCCTCTGCTTTTTCCCATTAATTGAAGCCTCAAGAGAGTTCATCTTCCAAACAACACATTTGAACAAAGTTCCTATAAACCAGTTTTGTCTATAAAAAAGCTGCACACTTCCAACTTGCAGAGAAGGTAAGCCTTTCTGAACCACAGTTTAAGCAGCTAGTACGCTCAGTTTGCCCTTTCTTCACAGAAGATTACACTGCAGAGTGGAATACAATACGTACTTTCTGAATCTAGACCAAGCCTGTGACTCAAGATGGCCGGTGTGGCATGAATAGAGAACAATCTTCTTCCTGAAAAAGCCCGTTTGCTATGAGAACATCATCTTACAGCCGCATACAGCAACTCACATTATGAAAGGCCACTCATCTTGGAATTTTTCTAAATATAACACTACAGTAGAAGACATCATCTGTTTTAGGAATAATGCTCTAAATACAGCCCAACCCGGGTGCAATCTTTAGATACTACCATAACACCAAACAGTTACCACGGCCTAGCTTTGGGAAGCCAAATACACAGACTCAACTCACTTATCCTTAAAAGGCGTAACAAGTCAAATGCAATTAATGTTAAAGATAACATACACCGAAAATAAAAAAGTAAACGAAGTTGGATGATAACAGAAGGAAAAAAACCACCCACATTTCATCAAGACACTTAACAGCTTTCCTAATTGAATGTCACTGTCACAACAAAGAACTACACAAAAGGCCTATCTTCAGTTCACTTCCGGGTGAAATTAATTTGCAGAACCCTGCTAGGTCTCCAGTTACAGAGTCCAAGCCATGCTCGGGGGAAGGGAGGAAGGAAGGAATCTCAACTATTAGAATACAAACTGCAAAATAATTAGTTGCTCCTGAGATGGGGAAATGACTCTGCAGAGGCATCAGAGGGAATGACTCTGGAATTCAAACAACTGTACTGAAGCACTTGGATAGCGAAGTGGAAAAAAAATCCAACATAGACACTGGTCTAATACAATCCACAACGGTGAAAGCAGTTTATCACGATCCTTCTCTTTATTAGGAAAAATACATAACCACTTCATTTTCTTCACTTTTTCCCTCCTTCTGTCCACAGCAATCTGTAACATAACTAAGGGGACAGCTTCACATCTAGACTATGTAGGGATGTATTATGTCCAGCCAAGTACATACGGCAAACAGAAAATCCAAGGAAAACAACAAAACACACACACGCAGACATACACAAAGAAAAATCCACTAGGCAGTTTACTTCATTTCTACCAAACAATGGGAGGATTTATATGCTTATTTAATCCCAACACACAGTGTTTAAAGGGATATACGTGAATGTAATATTAAATACTGCAGTAGGACTAGGAGTGCCATGGTAGGAAGGAGTGATCACGTGTGGCAAGCATCTGCCTACACTGAAGAAGGTGGCTGTGAAAAAATTGGATATTTGTTCTGGATGAATTCTAAACACACCTTGGATGTTAGCAGCCCAAGTCTGCTAACACAGACGTTCTGTTAGAGGGCGATGAATCCACAGAATGGAATAAAAAAAAATTAAGATGTAAAATGTCAAAACCTCCAGATCTTGAATATTCTACCTACAATATTTTTCTTCACTGTAACTACCTGGCAGTCTGAAGTAACTCTCTTCAAAGAGGTTAAACAATTACAAGCTTTCCTATTTAAGTGTATCTGCTGACTTTGTATTTATGGGCAACTGTTTGACGAAACTTGACATGGAACAAAAACCAAAACCAAACCATTACCACATACATACTGAAATCTAGCAGAGGCTTTTGTAATAGATGATCTAGAGAGCAGAAAGATACTAACCTAACTCTGTTTACAGGCACTATAACCATGAATACTAAACCTGACTTACACATGGAGGAATAGAAATGAAACAATACAGCCTAACGAGCTTTTAAAAATAAAAACGGCAATATGGCCAGAGTGTACATGTGAAGAGACTGGAAGGATACACAGCTAATGCTCTCATAACTAAACAGAAGGTTAAGTCTTTTGGTATTATATAATACATCATATGATCTTGCTTAAGAACATGCATAACTACTGAAAAAGGAGAGGAAAAAAGTCCACCCTTATCAAACGAAACTTTAGATTTGACAGCAAGTTTACTTATATGGAGCCCTACTGAAGCTCTTCAAGACAATAGGAGGGCTACCTTATACTTCAGCTGGCATTGGTCAGATATAAATTCTGCAGAACGCTTTTAAATGTCAAAATACACATACCAAACTGAATACTTGCTTTTGGTTTACATCTCTCAAGAAGAAAGTGTAAACAATTATCATGGTCTTACACTGGCCACCATGTAGCATCCAGATGTCAGCCTTTGCTTTTTAGCATCACTCCTGTTCTGACATGTTTGGAGGAGAAACAGCTACATACATTCCCATAGTGTTAACGTCTAAATAGTTAGTCTGCCTTAATAATCCGAGCAATATTTAATCAATGTAAAGAGTTTATTCTATATTATCTTGCATAGTGTCAAACATGCATATTAGAATTTTAATAGGAAGCAAATACAGTAACTGCATGCTGTTCAAATCTTGAATTTCACCCAATGGAACAAACTCAATTTCATTTCAGCACAGTTTTTAAGTTTGCAGTGTCTGGGTTTGCAGCACTGCAAATAGGACATATAAACACAATTTCTCATTTTTACTTATTAATATAATCATTAGGCTTCCCTTTTTAAAATCCACTATTAAACTTACCTACTGAAACCCCAGACTATTTTCTTGCAATTGTCTAATATATAGCATGTGCTGTATTTAATTTAAAAAGAAACAAAGTCTACGTAGCATCACACTTAACCAGTCTAACTTTCTATGAAGCCTGATGCAACTGCATACACAAACTTTTCAGTTACCCAAGCACTGCAGAACTCGCATTTGTAAGGTATATAGAATTAGGTCTTTATTATCAACACAAATCTACAAAGATACACTCCTCCTTCCCAGTATTAAGTGTATGTATACACACACTTTACTTTGCCTATTACACAAAAGCAGTAAAATTTACAGCTCACGAATTAGCAAAGTTTTAAAGTGATTAAGACAGCAGAAAGCTATATCAAAACAAGATTAAAATGTATTCAAAGCTAATTATGTTTGTTTTTACCTGAAAATTAACATCTTCTTTCTTAAATATCAGTGCTCGAACTTCATCAGGGTCTCCATTAAATATAGCTTGAACCAATGATGGCTGAAAAGAAGAAAAAACACATCTTAGAATGTAACTCCATTTTAGTTTTTAATGATACACATATGGTTTTTTGATACGTAACACAAACACAAGATGACAACAAAATAAAACACCCCAGACAGTGAACTAAAGAAACCTGCAACAGCATTCAGAATTGAAAAAGAAATTTTGAGTTTTAAAAATCTCACACGAACGTACTCTAAGTCAATGAAATATTATTTTTTTAAAAAGGGTCCAGAAGACTAGCTTATAACAGCTGAAAAGAGAACTCCTCATAATAAAATTAGGGCTGTTACATGCTGCAAATTCTATACAATATAAGCAAGCAAATCCCTTTTACGTTAGCAAGTGACTAAAGTTACTAGGAGTTTTCCACCTGTTTAGATGGAGTGGGAAAGCAAAGTGCATCAGATAAGTATGGTAACAAATTCACACTCACACACATCTATTACTAAATATAGCAGGATTTCTTAGTAAGTAAGAAAAGCTGCTGAGGTATGCTAGCAAGATTTAAGTCAGCCACTTGATGAAATAATTTAAAGCAATAAACGCACAGTCTCCAAAGTTGGTCATTTTCAGAAAGTGGTAACTTGAAACTAACAGTTACATTAAGATTATGACTTATGCTATTTTTTAATTTAGCTTAGAATTGCTCTTGCTTGATGTACACTATATACTTATCAGTTCTCAAAATAAACACAGCATATTATTGCAATACAATGATTACATCAGTTGCTAAAGTGGTACTGCATAAACGTACCATTGAGGAATGAGGAGTGGAGCGAGGAAAAACCATTTACTTCAAATACAATTTACCAAGCCCTCTAAAAATCCTCTGCTATTATACAAGAGTTGAGATGTGTTATTGCTGCACCATAAATAAAAGTTACATGAAAAAGAACAAGCCCTTCCAAATATTAATTCCACAACTAAGTTTCAGCTTTCTCCCTCTTTAGTATAGGTAGTTTTTACCACCTTGCCCTGTTTCAACATCATGCATATTCACATTAACCTTAGGAAAATTACTATTGACATTTGTGACAGTATTATAAAGCAGGAAATAGGCCAACAAACAACATGCCTTACCAGCACATTTCCAGAGGGCGATGGACGTAAAGATACATTTTCCTGAGGTAATTTGGAAACAAATGTGGGAGAATCATCTTCCACCTCCTCCAAAACAACAATACAGACTCGACTCATTCGATCCGTTTGAGGAAACAAAAGCAAACAAAAAAACGCCAGCAACAGTATTTTTGGAACCAGACCGCAGGTATTGCAATGGGGACCATAGAGGAAGCACTTTCACCTGTTTCACACAGCCTCACAAACTTGCCAGGGCTACCGCTGGTGTATTAGCATTTAAAAAAGGACATTCCAATCCTCTCTTACACTTCATTTTTTTAGATTTAAACACCCTGAGATGTTCAAGACAATGCTGAAAAAAGTTGTTCCCTTTAAAATAAAATCTCCCCAGGCATCAAAACCACAATAATGAAACCGTGGAACAGCTGATAAAAATATCCCAAGATCCAATTCCATCCAAACAGCAGTCACTGTCGCACACAGCTGTCCTTTCACAAGCGAATTTGTCTCCGTTAGTGTCACAACTTCCACAGCGTCCTTTTACCCCCACAGTGAAATCATTGTTGCAGAAGATACGACACCATCCTTTCGAGGACGGAACAAGGAACAATCGCCCCGAGAGAGACGGCTGCAGCTATACCCACTCCTGCAAGGTCAGTTTTAAACCAACCGTCGCAGGCTTGCTGGTGACTGAAAATAAACGCGCCTTCTCATCATCCTGCCATTCTACAGCTTCCTTTCGCAATGTCAAAAACAGTCCAGACAGAAAAATACATCTCGTTTCCAGCAGTTATTCAGGACTTGCTTAGAGGAAAATAATTCTTTCCCATGCAAGAAAAATATCTGCAGCGTACAGCACGGCTGCAGTACATTTACATGCGATGAGTCAGACCACAGGGACAATGAACTCCTTAATAATATTGCCGGTTGAATCCAGCCTCCCCAAATGACAGCAACACAGACAGCGTTACTCCGTCAGGGACACAAGCAATGCGGAGCGTTCATTTTTCCTTCACCGGGCAGTAGCTGGGGAAAGCTGTGTTTCCCGATGGAGACATCAGGGAATGCGTTTGGCAGAAATACCGTTGAGGAAGAATGCTTCAGCAAAACAAGCTGGCTACCACATACAAAAGCTCAAATTACTGCCTCAGACTTCTTCTGCAACAGAAGTTCATCGCTCAAGTGTTTCTTTTGATCACCATGTGAATGCAGTTTCCATGATAGTCTTCATTCAGATGGCGGGGGCGGGGAGGGGTAACAAAAAAAAAAAAAAAAAATCAGACTCCGTACATCTTCTCTAAGCCAACTTCTTTATCCGAACATCTGTCACTGTGCCAACCTGATTCTCCTCTTCAGTTAGAGCTTCTGCTTCTCAGCTTTTTCTCCTTGACAAATTAAATTATACAATCAGCAGCTAGCCTCGCAAAGCTTGAAAAATCCTAGCTGTCCGAGCCGGTCATCAGAAGCCCGCAGGAGCAGAGCACGAACCAGCGCCACGGCAGCGTTCCCACTGAGCAGCAGCAACTGCAGCCTGGCAGGATGAAACGCCTAGTAATGCTCACATGTCACACTTACCAGAGAACCCAGCCACTGCTCCCACTGCAACTTCCTCTGGCATAAAAAGAAAAAAAAAAAGCGCCTTTTTCTATTTTTTGGGGGCAGTCTTTGCAGTTACATCTGTGCCAGTTCTGTGACTAACGGAGCTGAAAACGTAAAAATCCTACAACTGAAGAAAGAGCGACTGTTTAATATTTTCCACTAAAAGCCGCAAAGAAATCTAGTGTACTGGCTCTGCTGACTAACAATTTAGGCAGTAAACAATTCCAGCATTTTAACTGCTTTCATATGGCAATGGTCAGGGCAGCAAAACAGTCCTTCCTTAACTCACTGAAGACAAGAAAGTTCCCACATAAATACTCTGAAAATTAAATGAAAATAAAATCTCTCTTAGTAATTGATTTACTATTAACAAGTCAGCTATTAACGATCAAATCCATGGGTTTTTGCAACTAGCATGGATAAAGATATCCTCAGCTTGAAAAAAATATTGCATTGAGTATCATATAAATATAATATTAATATCATAGCAACATTCATACAATAATACAGCATAATAAAAGATAATATAAACCCCTACAACTTGCTGAATAAATACTTCAGCTCGAATCTGCCTAAATGGTGCTGGTTTGTGGGTGTATTATGTAAATGGCTTCTGTCAGAGTTGCTGGATAAGCTCCGGTGTTACAGTAACGAAGGGAAGGTTTTTCTTCCTGCTGTGCAGTATGAAGGCACTTTTAATGTCCTGCACAGGCTGGTAAGATCAGAATTTGCCAGTGATGAACAACACGTTTCTAGCTCTCCAATAAAGCATTAGGACTCCAGTTTCACATACGAACCCAGGCAGAGAGAAAGACAGGTTTAAGTGGTATATTAAATGGTTTGGATATTAATAGACATATTGAATTGCCACCTTTGGGGGCCACAGGCAGGAAAAGCTCACATCACCAGTCTTTTGAAATACGTCTATGGTAGCTTCACCGCAACATAATAAATTGCTGAACACGCACCTACTGACACTTCATGCAGGTGAAGGTTTTTGTAAGCGTGAAAGAGGACCTTATGGATGGGCGCCCTGAGCTCAGGACTGCTGGCTTGGCAGAATATAGCACCAGTTTCTGATTCACTGTGAAATTTCAGATACGATTCAAATTTCCCAAACGTTCTCATTTACAGCATGTGACTAACAAAACAAACATCTTCATAAATAAATATAGAGTCCAGTTGTTTTGGAATTTCATACTTTTGGTCTTAATTATGAAAAAGCAATGGTTTGTACACTACACTGCTTTGTTCTAGCATTTCAATCATTTATTAAAAAGAAACAACACAGATTCACATGAATACATATGAAAACTCATGTTCTTCTTGGCCACAGCAAAACCAGTTTAAATAAAAACAAGGACATCTTCACAGCTCGTCTACTGCAATACCCTACTGTCTGGTAAGGAACACAACAACCACAACCTAAAAAATACTTTGCTTTTTATTTGTGAAAAACACTCTAAAGTATAGACACTGTAGTTCACTTGCATAACTAAACATTCGCTCAGAAAAAAAAATAATTAAAAATCAGATTTTAAGTCTATAAGCAAAACACATGCTTGGGTTTCATACTATACACACACACACATACTTGGTATTCTAGCTAGGCCCATATGTTCAGTGTAAATGAACATTTTTTGAGAGCCAGTAAGTTTATATAGTAAGGAAATGCTAAGAGTTCCATATGTTTTCTTTGGAATTGCCAAGTAGACATGTTACTACATAGAGATAATATCCACTTTAATTCAAACTACCTGAAAGCGGTCCAGTTTTGATCTTTGCAATTAATGCTCCAAGTACACCTAAAAAATTTAGCTAGAAATTCAAAAGTTACCATAAGAAGTATAGGACTTCACACTTATTTTGTTGTTAAAATTCAGAAAATTAAGAATATTTGAATCTACTCTGATAATTATTCTAGAAATCTTACCTATAATAAAATTAATAGAAACTATTTCCAAAAGCAAGTTAAGATATTACATCCTGCATAACATTACACATATTTGAATGGTGACACTACTATGGTCAAAGAGTTAAAAGCTAATACGTCAGTCACAGTTTGCATTAGAAAGAGAACAAACACAACTGAGTCAATATTTTATTGATCTTGTTAGCCATCTAAGCTATACAAGTAAGTAGACAAAAAAAAAAACACAACTCACACTAGGAATATGTGTGTGTGCAATTACTTCCATAACCAAAGGACAATCCAACTCTACAAACCTTTCATTTTTGCACTTGGAGGTTATTTAAAAGAACCATCTTCCCTCCTCCCATTCCCTTCAACTGAAAATACTGCCTTCAGAATGCAAATACCATCCATAATCATCTCTTCCTTCAACTTCAAAAAAACGATCCAAGTTATCCTCTGGCATGCAAAATACAAGTTTCTAACGCTACCTAACAGCTACTTTGAAAGCCAAAAGTGGAAGTTCAGAATTCTACTGAAAGAAACCAAGCTAAGATTTCAGTTTTTCAGCAGATTCTCTAGACTAATAACTTTCAGTGCAGAAGAGATAATAGTAACAGAGAATGAAAGCCGAGCAAATTCAGGAGGATTAATTTAAGCCTCCTCTCCCCAAACTAGTTTAGGAATGATAACGGATCTTTGCAAAAGTATGAATAAAGAACACTGTATGTCTCAAAAAAAACATTCTTCAGTTTATCTTAATAAAACTTAAAATAACTGAAGACAGCAGATTATCAGCACTCATCTTCTCTAAATGTCACGTATTTCTAACACGAAATCTTACTAAACAAGTCGTAGGAAAGAAGAGTAAAAAAAAGGTCTAACTTAAAAAAGAAAAAAGAATGCCGTATTTACTAGGGCTTGAGGGGTGAGCTATCTGATAACCTCCACAATAATTGTTAGCAAAGTAAGATCTCCATATTTAACGCTAAAATTTTAAGGACTGCAATGGAGAGAGAATAAAAAGAATTTTCAAGGGGACAACAGTGAGGATATGCATTTTTGCAAAAAAGGTTTTTTGTGTTGACATGATAGCTTTTTGAAAATTAAAACAGAGAAGTGTTCTAAATTTCAAACTACACCTGCCTTTAAGTAAACCAAGTTTCAAGAGTCTTTCGTGGGTGCATATAAAAAGAATATATTACAGGAAAGCAACGTGCAGGTTTAAACATGGATGACGGCAGCCATGTCTACAGCAGACAGAAAACACATGAACTCTGAATCAGCTAAAAATAGTAACCTCTTCCATAGATCTACCCTTTTCTCTAGGAACTGATGAGCAGAAGACTGTAGCAGCACTGTTGGTAACACTGAAAATCTCACCAAAGCACATTCAATATCAACAAACCTACCCAAATAAAGATTTCTCTCTTGCCAATCAGCATCTACCAAGTCTTTTTTCCGGCTGAGATTAATCCTACTGGTTTCATTTAGTATTTTGTGTAATTAAGGATCTAGGAAAGGAAGGAAATTGTTCTGTCAGTTTCCAATAAAACTGAAAAAAAATAGAACCAAGGAAATCTGATGAGTTATCTTTTAAACAATC